ACACACACACACACACACACACAGACACAGGTGTGTTGGACTGTTGGATTACAAATGATAATTACTGGAAACATGAAGGTGACCCCAAACCTTTGAATGCTGGTGTATATGTGCTCTAATTTTTAAATCCTTAATCAGCCTGTTTTTCATGACGGTGTGGACACAGACAATGCTCAGTGAAAATGATGTCCCTGATCCTGAGGTGAGTATTTATTGTTCTTACTATTGGAATTAAATTAATGTTTACAGCTCATAGAATCCAAAAGTTGCTTCATATGATTTGGTAGTTTAAAAACCAGAATATTCAAGGTGGTTTTAAATTTTAATATTTCTTTGTTATTACTGATAAACATAGAAATATAAAGACAAAGCTGTAGAACTTGTCATGATCCATTTTAAGGTGTGTATATCTCAGACTCACTGTTGGGGCCCTTTCCACACATCCTAATGTAAAAGATTCCCTCATGATTTTGTAGACATACAAATGGACAATGTCTCCGATACTTCTCTGTTTAATATCAAGCATCAAAAGAACTGGGAACTACTGGTCTTAAATCTGAGGACAGCACATGTTACAGAACAGAAACCTGAGTTCATAAGGCAAGTCTGTACATTCTGTGATTATTCTCAATATTTACTGGCATGTTTTCATTTTCATTAGACCTTCAGCCTTCAAGAGATGAATGCGTCATCTACCAACATGACTGTGGTTGAAGGTTATGTTATAGACTCCTTCTCTAAGGTCGCCAGCCACATCAACCTGCCCAGTGTTTTTTTGTTTGTTGTCTTGTTGCTTTTCTTTTCTCTCTCCTCTATCCCCCCAACCGGTCTGTCGGAGGTTTCTTCCGTTAAAGGGAGTTTTTCCTCCCTGCTGTCGCCAAGTGCTGCTCAAGGGGCATTTGTTGGGTTTTCGTCTACATAACATTTAATGTAAGGTCTAGACCTTACTTTGTAAAGTGTCATGAGATGATTGTTGTTGTTAGTTTGCACTAAACAGACTCATCTGAACTGAATTCTATTATCTGCACTAATAACACATTTGCTAAAGAAATAAGTGAGATTCCATTAGTCACATCCTGATCAAGTTGTTTTGGCTTTGAGCTTTAATATTGGGTCATGTATATTTAATATCTAGATACGTATCAGAGTCCGATCTGCCTTATATAGATGCACCAGTACAAAACATGAACTGCTTTAGACAATACCCAGGTCTCTGATTAAAATCCAGGTAAAAGCTTTTGTAAAGGAGGTTTTCTTAACAAAAGTTACCTACATCTTCCAAGGCTCATTTTGGCAAGAAACATCCAGTAACTGAGCTTAAAATGCTGTCGTGAGCTGCTAATGGTGTTGAGAAACCTGCAGTTCAGATCAGCTCCTTTTTAATTTCTGGTGTGACAGAATTCAGCAGCTATGGCACTGTGTTTTGTTAACAACAACCATTTGTTGTTGCGTCTCTGACTGACCTCTGCTTCATAGCAAGGGTGTTTGAGGCTCATGGTATTGTAGTATTTAGACTTGCTTGCCAAAATGACAAAATGCATGTTATCATGTACCTTAATTCTAATGTATGATGGATTTAAAGGCGTCCATGTTAAAATGATTGTAGCAGACTGGAAGAAATGGCACAAAGATGGAATTAATGGAATCACCAAGCAAATATCTGCCAATGTGAACAGTAACAGCAGTGATTCAAAAGTACTGCAGTTTATGGCCATAACTGTTTATTCTCCCTAATTATTCTATGAGGAATGATTATTGCAGATCAAACCGTTACCTCCCTCCCATGTGGTTTTCTTTCCACCCTCCAGATCTTTTACATGAATCCTCGGTATATCCTGTTTATTCACCTGGTGGTCAACGACATGATCCAAGTGACCCTGTCTGTCGTATTGTTCATCATCACCTATACCGTCTACAAAATTAATGCCTCAGTCTGCTGCACCTTACTCCTGATTGCTCTGTTCACCACTGAAAACACCCCTCTGAACCTGGCTTGCATGGCAGTAGAGTGCTACATCGCCGTCTGCTTCCCCCTTCGCCACGTGCAGATCTGCACCATCAAGAGAACGTTAAAGTTGATTGGTTTAATCTGGGGCACAAGCACCTTGTCTGTTCTTCCTGATCTGTTTATCACCTTGGCCACAGAGCCACTGGACTTCTTTAAGTCCCAGTTGTATTGTGTCAGGGAATTTGTATTTCAAAACCCTCACATTGTCAAAAAGAGGGATATTACTTATATTATATATCTGGTTATAGTTTGGCTTGTTATCTTTTACACTTACTTCAAAATACTGATCACTGCAAAAACAGCCAGCAAGGACACTAAAAAGGCCAGAAACACAATTCTTCTCCATGGTTGTCAGGTGCTGTTGTGTATGGCAACATATGCAGAACCCCTGTTGCAAAATGCCCTGAAACTATGGTTTCCCAACAATTACACAGACTGTCTGTTCACTTGTTATATTATAATACACATCCTGCCCCGATCCATTAGTTCAATCATTTATGGAGTACGAGACAAAACTTTCAGGAGATATTTAAAAAGATATCTGGAATGTAAAGCGAGTCCACAGTAGGCATCACTTCACACAGGAATTTCAAAAACCTTTACTCTGTTAAGATAGAAAGTACACGTTTAATCAAAACTGTCCACATAGTCAAACTGAGTTATTGTAAATTCCTGAATTTGTACTTTTTGTTTTGCTTATTCAATTACAAAAAAAAGTGTTAATATATAAAATCAGAGCTGGATATCAAACCTTCACTCCTGTTTTGTTATCGACTGAAAATCTTCTTGCTGCCTTTGACAATAAACTATTTAAATTAGGGCTGCAATGAAGGATTATTGTGTTTCTCAATCTGGAGATTGTCATTTCCATTTAATTTGTCCATATAACAATATTACATAATGAAAAATACTCATAAATTCCTACAGATCATTATGAGGTCTGGTTTTGTCTGATAGTCAAAAATCCAAAGAGAAAACATCAAATCTGATAAGCTAGAAACAGCAAACTCTCAGTTACACAGACACACTGACATCCCGCTCTCCATAGGGGGATGTTAGTGTGGGACAATGGATCTGTGCCAATGCCTTATGATTCAGCAAGAGAAAACTGAATTCCTTCTTAAAAGATGATTTACTCTGAAATAAAGGTGTTCAACAGAAAGCCACAATCCAACAAACTTGAGCCAGCTGAAAACAGGATTCAGTGAGAGAGCCTTTGACTTTTATTCAGATCAAGAGCTTAACCAGTGATAATGTTTTTAATCAGTATGATCATTTTAGATTGATGTTTAGAAATAGTAGTTGTTGATTTATTTAGAATGAAAGCCAATCAAAACAATTATTGATGATTTTAATGCTTTACCTTGCTGCTTGCTACTGTACTGTAACCTTTTTAAACTTCTATATAAAATTCCGGAAAAGGTTTAATACTCTCTGTCTTTATTGAGTTAAGTATTGATGTTATTAATTCTCATGAGTTTAGTGATATTGTTCAACAACCAACCGTGTTAACAGTAGACCAACCTACTCCACAGGGTCTCAGAGAAGTAAAACAGACAGTGGTAACCTCACGGTGTCAACAAGCTGTCTGACTGCAGAAACCTAACGGTGACAACAGAAGCAGTACTTTTCTGATTGGGCTTGTTGCTCGGGTGAATTCCATACAAACCGGCTGGCTGTTGAGAGGGAAGGTGATCTTTAGAAAGTTATACCAGAAAATATTTTATATAAAATATCCAGCTGTTTACGTATTACATAATGCAGACTGCCATTTGAATTTCCAATCCTTAATAACAACTTATGTCAACTACTGTGCAAAGCAAATCGGGTAAATGGCCAGTGTCACAGCTTTTATTGGTTATTTCAGACAAAATGTAACACTTCCTCAAAGAGCCAGAATATACTGGTTTATAAAAATATCTCGGTACAGTAACATCTGAGGATATAAGGAGGTAGCTG